ACAGTTGCCTGGTGAAAGAAAGAAAGAATATATGATAAAACTTAAAAGCAGATGAATAAATGGTGTTATACTGTGCCTTACTTGATGTCTTAGTGATCCTGGGATGCTATACAATGGTCAGACATTCACTTATTTAATTGTTACAATCCAAAACAGATCTGCAATTGTTGTTTCTGGGACAATGATATTTTTTCTTCATTGGGTTAGAAGAATCTTATAAATCTACAAGAATTTTTGTTCCTGCGTGAATGTGAGGAGTTAATTTTATTGACAAAACTATAGTTTAATATGCATTCATCATACTCCAGAACATCAGTTCAGTCTGTGTGAAATATGACAGTGTAGCAGCCCATCCACGTACGAGTCTGGCTCGGCGAGCTTGACTCGTGAGCCGGGCTCGGATATATTTCACCACACACATATAGCAGACTCCCAAACTTTACTCGTACATTTCAGTATACAGAATGAGTTTATTGAAGCAAGTTGCAGCAGCGGTGATCGTTTTAGACGAATGCGGTGTGTTCGCGAGAACAAAGAATAAAAAGAGGAAAATATTGGTTAAGAACTGGTTGCTACAAAAAGAAAGATTCACACATTTCAATTTACTGAATTTTATTAGAGATGATAGTCCTGATGACTACAAAAACTACTTTAGAATGTCTGATGAAAACGTAAATTATTTGCTCGAAAAAGTAAGATCGTTCATTTTGAAACAAGATACTGTGATGCGGAATGCTATAACTCCTGAAGCACGTATTGCAGCGACTCTTCGTTTTCTCACCACAGGGCGGTCGTTTGAAGATCTCAAGTTTGCCATGATCATATCACCTCAAGCCTTGGGCAAAATCATTCCAGAGACCTGCAAGACTATATATAAGGCCCTCAAATGAGAATAATTGTAAGTATGGAAAATCTAAATAATAATAATGTTTTTATTTATTCAAATTACGAATTCCTCCCTCAAGAAACATTTTGCATTCTTATATACTTACATATAGCATACTTTTTTAAGGGATAAAATATTTCTAATTGTAAAACCCTAGTGACTGTAGTTAGTTTCCTGTGGAAATAAAGTTTCCAAGTCCTGTTCTCACGTTTACTGTTCTGGGGACTGTACTTGATAATTGGAATGACGTGGTATTGGTGATGGGGTTGAGTTTGAGTAGTTGGTAGAGACTGAAGAGAGTGTAGTTGACATGCGGTCACCAGATGTATACCCATAATCAGAAATAGAAGTGCATGTCGTAAGATGATTCATGAGACCATTAAACAGAACGTCATTGATCAATTTGTCAGCAATGTCCCTCTGAGCGGCAGGCATTCGACGCAGTTTTGCAGCATACGTTTTACCTAGGGTGTCGTATTCATCATCCTGTTGGTTAAGTACACCCATTGCTTTTTTAATAATGTTTTGGTGCTGTTCATCTGCAGCATTGACAGCTGTAGACGTTTTCGTGGAGGTTTTAGTCCTTTTCTGAAGTGGAAGCTGCAAAACCATTTCCGAAGTTCGTTCGCCTTCATCAGACACCTCGCCTTGTGTTGCTTCATCCTGAAACAAAACAAAAACGTAACTCGAGAGTGCATGAGCCGGGTCGCGAAATTCACATCCCGGTTGCTTTTTCTTTTTTAATTATGTAACGTACACCCATTCCGTTTTCAATAACGTTTTGGCGCTGTTCTTCTGCAGCATTGACAGCTGTAGACGTTTTCGTGGAGATTTTTGTCCTTTTCTGAGGTGGAGGCTGCAAATCCATTTCCGAAGTTCCTTCGCCTTTATCTGACACCTCGCCTTGTCTTGCTTCATCCTGAAAGAAAACAAAAACTTAACTCTAGAGTGCATGAGCCGTGTCACGAAATTCACATCCCTGGTTGCTTTTTCTTTTTTAATTATGTAATAAAGGCAAATTATTCAACTGCGGACTGTTTCTGAACTAACATTGTTATTACAACTAATTGTTGGTTTTAGTATAGTGATAACATAACATAATTATTATTTTCCAGTTCCCCACCTCTTCACAAGAATGGCAAAAGATCGCAAGAGCATTCGAATCATTGTGGAACTTTCCCAATTGTGGTGGTTGCTTGGACGGGAAGCATGTGGCTATTGTTAAACCTGCTGATGAAGGGCCACACTACTTCGACTACAAGGGATACCGTAGTGTTGTTTTGTTCGGACTTGTGGATGCAAACCTGGAGTTTATTATGACGCAGTATACACCAGGGTCAATGCTGGACAGAATAGAGACAATGTTTTACAGAAAGTTGAAGAATGGTGAACTTGCTCTTCTGAAAAATGATGACACCGTGGGGAATATGAACTTCGTTTTTGTTGCAGATGAGGCTTTTGCACTGAGAGAAAATTTGTTGAAACCCTTCCCCCGTACAGAAAAAAATTTCAACTATAGATTATCCCGTGCAAGACGATGTGTAGAAAACGCATTTGGAGTACTTGCAGTGCATTTTCATATTTTTCATACAACGATTAACTTGCTGCCGTCAAAAGTGGATGACATTGTGATGGCTTATGTCATTCTACAAAATTTTCTTCAAAGGAGAACTAGAACATTGGACAGAGAAAATGTGGAAGACGCATGTGTTGTGGAAGGAGACTGGAGGAAAGAGCAACCTCAAGGACGTTTCAATATGGTTCGTAATGTGCGTCAGGTGAAGCCTACTACTGAAGCTTCTGCCAATCGAGATAATTATGTTCAGTACTTCAACGGGCCAGGAAAGGTGCCATTCCAAGACAGGGTGGTGAGCAACAGAGCACTACACAAAATACTCTTACAGCAGTTACAGTACACTTTTCACTTCCTACGGTGGTTTGATAACAAATTTTATGAGTGAAGATCCTTAATTCCTGCAGTTTATTTTATACAACCTATCAATACCCCTACCAAACCCTACCCTTCTACAAAGGTACTTATTACATTTTAACAAGTTTTCATTACTGATCTGAAGTTATCTACTGGTATTTCAAAATGAAAAACTTAAATATTTCCTATGAACTTACCTCTGTTGCTGTCAAAGCTGTTGATTCTAGTCCGCCATCATCAACATCTTCGTTATCTACTGGTATTTCAAAATGAAAAACTTAAATATTTCCTATGAACTTACCTCTGTTGCTGTCAAAGCTGTTGATTCTAGTCCGCCATCATCAACATCTTCAGCTTCTACATCCAAATTACTTCTCCTCTTCCGGGGATTTTCTTGGTCTACCGTGAAAAGAAGCATATCGAAGTACCACAATTTTGGCTTGTACACTTCATCCTCCGAAGCACCACTTCTTTTACTATCCCGAACGCGGCGCAGTTCTTTCCTAAACGAGGCCCGGATACTATCAACTTTTTTCTTAACGAACTGCAAGTCAGCATCAGGGATTTTCTCCCGCGTGAACTGCACGAGTAGATCCCAGGCCTTATCCCGCTTTGCCCTGTTGGAATAATCTGCGCTGCGAACCTTCCACAAAACCGGTAATTCACGGTACTCTTCCAAAAACTTTGTCACAAAGTCTGGACTCATGAACATTTTGTTCGCCATGGAAGCCGACATCCTCTAGTGACAACACAGAACAAGTCACAAAATCACACTGTCTGCGCGTGTTGATACACGAATCTGGCTCCGGACTTACCACTCACATACTAGCCAATAGCGAGCCAGCGACGAGCCAAGTCCCACCAAAGGGTCTGGCGGTCCCAGCCGGACTCGGCCGAGCCCGGCTCGTGACACCCCACGCACAAACGAGTTTGGCTCAATGGAACCCGAGCCAAGCCAGACTCGTACGTGGATGGCTGCTTAACATCTCCAATGCATGAAATAATGTAAAGTCACTCATGCACAGTATATCTCATACTTAAAAATTGAGAATAAAATTTCTCTGACTAAATCAGGTTTATTGCTAGACAGTCCACAAGGCCTGGATCAACCGTAACAGACAAGACATCTAAAGGGAGCACAATCCAGCAATTCATCTTATCCTAACAATACCACCAATTACTTTGGAGGAAGTTGGAGGAGAAAGTGCCTACGCTGTAAAAACAAATACAGTGCTCAGACCCATTCTGAGGGTTATAGACATGTTGGCCATACAGGAATAATCTTTTTTCTGAAACAATATGTAATCCTTCAGTCAGTTCTTACTATGACAGCTCTGTTAAATTCATTCCTCTATCAGTGACCACCACGTCCAACTATGAAACTAAATATTCTGTGTACTGGGGTGGCCCATATTTCATCGATGCTACCACCAATAATCTCTATGGAAAAAAGTAAATCAGTATGACACCCAAGCACTTGATGTTGGGAATACAGCCAACATCTAAAAGGTTGCGTTATCAAATACACTTCTGAAATGCACATGTCCATCATACTTGTATAATAAGCTAGCTTCTCAAATGTTATGAAAATTAATTATACTTCTGATAAAGAACAATATCTCACATATTTATATAATCAGTCAACCACTCACAATATTTTCAGATCCTTAACAGTAATGACTACTCTCTCCTGCTGCAGAGATGCGGTGAAAATTGATGTTCACAGTTCGTGGGAATTGTAAGAGGACGAGAGTGGCCAAGTGCTTATTCGAAAAGATGTTCAAGCAACGTATTGAACTGCGGCTGTATTTGTCCAAAACATTTTATAATTTATTTAACACAAATCCTGACATATTTCAACATGGAGGACAAACATGGAAGCGGTCATATACAATTCTCAAGACTTCAAAATTCATTCATTAGAGAGAAGTTATTTCAAGGAGATAAACAGCTGGGCAAGATCCAGACAACACTAATTTTCTGTATATTTGTGAAATGTGATTAACAATGGACAGACACACGTATAACTCACCACATCTTCATCTTTTGAAACCGAAAATGTTGTCAACATTTGATCCTCCTCCACCTCCTCTTGTATATCCGCGACCTCGACTTTTACAGTGATGAAGTGATTTTCATCAGGACATGTCTCGCTACTTGAACCAAGTTCAGTTTTCACAAAATCCATGCAGTTCTGTAAAAACACCATAAGCAAATTTTTTATTACAAAAACGTACTCTCAACAAACCAGTACGAATATTAATAAATCTCATTATTCAAATGCAAATTTAGTGACTGGTGTTCTGCAGCTGCTGAATCACGTGTGCCAGGTGCACCAGGTGTGAGTAGTAAAACCATCGCACATCAGATCAAATGGATGCAGGATGTAGCAACTCAGCTAACAGGAATAATTCTGTCACCAAGTGTAAGTGGTACTCCACAAAGTACAATTCTCAAGACACCTCAGAATCCATTCAGTGGAGTCGTTTCATACGCGTTAAAAATACGTGGGGATTAAACAGGCGACAAGAAATTGTGTATACTTCTGCCGTGCTTAACAATGAAAACGCAAATATAACTCACCTCATCTTCAGCTTTTATCACCGGAAATGTTTTCATCATAGGATTCTCCTCAACTGTTGTATCCCTGACTTCCTCAACCCTTTTATCAATAACCTGATTTCCATCCCGACACATCTCACTGTCTGAACCAGGTTCAACTTTCAGTGAATTGATGCAGTTCTGTAAAGCCAACATAACCTCATTTTTTGTGAATGTCTTGACTCATCTTTCATTAAACAGCTCTGCAATCAATCAGACTGGTTGCATCTGTTTTGTACAGATCTTCTTCTTTACAACTAACAAAATATATAAATTAACGTATATTTTGGTTTAAAATTACACCTACATAATGTTTAAGGAATATGACAACATGAATTCCATGGATCAATTTTAATTATTTTTAAAAATTCAAGAATTATTCAAAATTTTTAGAGTATTCAGCCTTTTAAAATTCGGAAATGTTTCATTTTTTTAATTTTGAAAATCTTTATAAATGCTGAATTTTTTTAAAAAAAATTTAAAATCTTGGAATTTGTTAAAATTTTCAAATTTTGAAATTTTATTGGTTCAGGTTAGGTGAGGTTTTGTAAGGTTCAGAAAGGTTTCAATGGAAAGCAAACACACAAACACACAGAAAATAACAGTTGCCTGAAAGCAAAAGCTCACCTCGGATTCAGAATTCATGATGAAAAATTATGTCAGTCGAATAAAAATATCAGTTTTCACACAAATGGAATCTTCTTAACTGACATCCGCAACATTTTCACCTTTCGTTATATTTATATTCTTTACGTTCTCCTGTAACATTCGAAGTACATACACAAATTAAGAGATACTAGGAACGATAGCTGATTCCATTACATTATGCACTGTCACATTAATTGAAAACCACAATTTGAACAAAATAAACCCCACTAACACGAAGATGGAAAATGAAAAATTACACACGCTTGTCACAAAATATTTACTCTTTCTATCGTCATGTAACAGAGTGAACAAGACAGTAAAATTCTTTTCTACGCACAGAACACTTGCCAAGTTTTCCTTCAGATATGGAAAAGTTATTTCAACACTCTGCAACATAATTTTATGTCAATCTACAGTCCACGACTGTAATCTTGAGACTTGCAAGGAATGCAGGAAGTCCGTAGCATTAAAGGCAGACGCTATCTTCCCTCCTTCACCCCACTTCCTCACCCCGCAAGTCTCAAGATTACAGTCGTGGACTGTAGTTGAAACAAACTGCAGAATCTCTTTCAAGTTAAAACTTGTTCCTCACACACATGATGGTTGCCATCTTGTATATAAGTACATTGACCCACAAGACCATTATCCAGAATGCATTACGAAGCTTCACGACCATTAGGCTCACATGTTTGTGTTATCTGAATGAGGCATCTAGAAAACACATTACAGCAACAAATGACAATGCACGAACATGACAGGACTCCATAAGCTTTGTGCTAACTTACTGCATGTTACAATGCAGTTCTCTGATAAGGCCATGAAGACTTCTGTGAACTGCACTAAAAACAGGTGTGTATCTTAAACCATAAACTTATAAAAATAGCAGACATGGTTTACATTAAGTAATCTGTGGCCTCCTTCGAAAACTGTCAAACTGTCCTTAACCGCTAAGGGACCTAAATGCTACAATTCAATTCCAAAAGGTAGTTTACACTTAAAATTATTCTTTGTCAGGACTTTTTCCATCGTCTGTTCTTTAAAATCACGACGTTTCAGAGGCTGGTTCTGTCTCCGTCTTCAGGTGAGAGGTACCTACTGTTGGGTCCCTTAGATAGAGCTAGTCTCTGTCACAGCCTCTGAAACGTCGTTATTTTAAAGAACAGACGATGGAAAAAGTCCTGACAAAGAATAATTTTAAGTCTAAGTGCTGAAACAGCCTAGGTAGGTCCTGTACATTATATTGCGAGACCGAGTGCCCCTGTTCGCTACTTGGGCACACGGTCTCGCGATAAAATGGACCCGGTACAACGTAACTGTCAATAGGCACATGCTCGTCCTTGCAGATCTTCGGTCATGTCTTGGATCACAACACTCTTACTGACGTTCAACATGTTGCCGGCAGAGCACGCGACACTGCATGAACATGTGGCGCTGTGTGTGTTAAGCGTCGCACAACGCCACTTCGCACGGGGAAAACCCGTTGTCATGTCGACGCCAAGCTCCGTTCGTGACGCACGAGAACACAAACTTCTTCCACGAAGCAACGAGATACAACTGGCAAATGAAATGTTGCAGAACCTCCACGAGGAATCCGAGTGGCCTCTTCTGAGCTGTCAGCTCGACAAACCAATATCAGACAGCGACAATGCGCATAAACATCAGAGTTACATCATAACTCTGTGGCCTGATGGAGTCGATGGCGTAATTGACTCGCTGCAACAGCAAATTTATAATTTATTGTCGTATGAAAATTCATTCAATCACAGAGCAAGATTTCTCCTTGTAGTAATGGACTACGGCGTTAAGGTGCCAGAGCTAGACGCCTTGAAAATGTTTGAGATGTTGTGGAACCCCTACAAAATCATCAACGTACTGATTTTATTGCCAGATATCAACACAGCCCACAAAACCAGTTCAAATCGCGCGTACGATACACTTAATTTATATACATGTTTCCCTTACGACTCGGAGCAATGTGGTGAAGCCAGAAAAGTCGATCTGCTTGACCAGTGCCTCCTGGATGTTGACGGAAGACTTCACAGTAACGCAAACTTATTCCCCGTCAAAGTTCCCAGGAATCTCCACGGCTGTCCTCTGGTCGTTGCTCCGATCGAACGAATTCCTTTCGTAAGACAGACAACGAATCACACGGACTCCGAAGGCGACGTCACGTACGTGTTTGAAGGTCTAGAAGTCGAGTACGTTCTAAACTTGGCCGAAGCGATGAATTTTACACCGGTGTTCCTTCAACGACGAGTTGGAGATTTCGTTCAGGTACGACTGGAGATATTCATGGAGTTATCACAGGGATTTGTGGATATCACCGTGGGAACACATCCACTGCACCTCCTCCTCGCTAGAGCGGCCGACCCAGTGAGGCCCTACTACGAACTGACCATGAGATGGTGGGTTCCGTGCGCCACGCCTGCTCCTAGAATGGAGAAGATCATGGCAGTTTTCACACCTTCCGTCTGGGTCTCCATTCTTGCAGTATTCATACTGACAGCCGTCGTATTTTGGAGGACAGCCGTGGGACCGCGATCCGTTTCCCGAACAGATTCCAAAATTTTCAAAACCTTTCACTACACCTTTTACAACGTGTGGGCTATTTTCTTAGGGGTATCAGTGCCAAAACAGCCTAAAACTATTCGTCTCAGAGGAATATTTTTAATTTACGCCTGGTACTCGTTTGCCATGAGCACCGTACTTCAAGTTTTTTTAATATCTTTTCTGGTCAATCCGGGATACAACAAACGAGTAGATAATTTTGAGGAACTCGTAAATTCTGATCTAAAACTCGCGACAGACACAAAAATGATGAGTTTCGCGAATTCCTCAGGTTACTGGGAATATCTTAGAGTAGGCCTGTCCACTGACAGTTGCTCCGACATAGACGAATGTCTGATCCAACTGGTGAGGTACAAGAACATTACGACGGTGTCGTCTGGCTTTCAGTTTGAGTACGTACTCGCTAAAATTGGCAGAACTAAAGACAAGCAAAGATTCTTATGTACCATCCCTGAGATCGTTGTTACGTCAAGATTTTCTATGTACGTGTCAAAAGGAAATCCACTTCTGGATCGCTTTAATTTATGGATTCAGCGCGTTACAGAATCGGGGCTTGTTAAGAAATACTGGTCTGAATTTATATGGAACGTGACAGTAGAGGGCCTGAGGGCACCCGGATGGGACCACAGTGACGACACTGAGAGTGATGACAGCATGTTCTTCGTCTTCACACTTTCTCACCTGAGTGTAGCTTTCTGCCAGCTTCTCATTTGTTACCTATTTTCTTTCGCTGTATTTGTAGCTGAGTGTAGACTTTAAGGGGTTTGCAGTCTATAAACAAGTAGACCACTGGAAAGGGCGCATATATTTCTCCAGACGCTTGCTTCATACTTCACAGTCTTTAACATTAGCTCATTTAATGTCCACATAAATAATACAGAATGAGCCAATCGCATTGCACAGCCTGCTAATGACTTTGAAGTTCATCTCAATACAGTAATAAGCTTATTAAAGAATTCGGGTCGTACCTCAAAGAAAACACTACTCGCGGTCGACCGAAGTCGTTCATTGGTCTTAACCACGTTCCTTAAGTTAACAGCTGTCCTGATTGGTTCGACGAGAATCAAGCCTGGTTATATATCTGGTATTTCTTCTCGGGGCGATAAAAAGCGTGTAAGGATTAGGAGCAGGACGTGTGGCATGGTATCAGGACCTGGAAGGACATTACGTGACGAATTTCAACTTCATAGCCCAGTCACGTCGAAACCCCTATCTGGTAGGCAACTCTCACGATCTTTTATGGCAAAAACTGACAATGACAGATGCAAAATGGACCGCGAAACTTTAACCTAACTGCAGATTTATCAGAATAAACAACACGAAATTAATCAATAAGAATGAAAATTAAATTCGACCCACTACCACCACTATTGTAAAACAAAAAACCCTCAGACAGGCCCACCGAATTTAATCGAAATTCGTTCAGTAGTTTCGTATACACTGTCAGATGTTCATACTCAAATATCCAATTATATTCATAAAAAAAACCAGCCTACACAATTTAAGTTACGTTAGTGTTTATCTGAAGGATATAAATATAGAACGTAAATGATTACATTAAAATGACCACGTTTCACGCTACTTTCACGTTTGTGTGCATGCTCGACGCGCGTCAGAAGACCGCCCCTCGTCTCTGATTTGCGTGTCCTTCCGAGTGGCAGCCACGTCATGCAATATCTTCGTTACCGTATCTGATTCGGTCCGCAGTTACAGAACGGTGAAATGTGGCATCCGCCAGTACGTCACAAAACCTATCTACAGCGAACTACAGATTAGCAAACAGACATTCATAAATCAACGTTTTCTATCACAACATCGGGCCTAACACGAAAGGAAGATAATCTCACTGTCTTGGGGGCTGGCACGTGCTTCGATCCGTACCCATCAATCACAAATATGGAGGCGAAATGTAGGTGACCACATACAGCCACTTCTCCTGTAACGCAATGCTGCTTCCGTTCCTAGGCCTAAGTGACTTAATCACAATAGGCATAAATAATCTGTTGGAATTTCTTGGCAGGTAAACAGATGTTGTCATCAGATTTCTTCCACTGAATCTTTATGTGATGGGTGTTGGTGATCCAACACACGCCTGATATTAACACTTCTCTGAGATGGAATGTTCCCTGTGCCAGACCTCTTCTGAGAACGGGGCAAATTCTGTCAGTATTTGCTCCACCTATTTGGCTGACCATCGTTACAGTATTCATTGTAACAACCGCTATATTTTGGCTCACAGGAAATTCTTCAATCGTATACAAGAATTCAACTATTTAAAAACTCTTTCTCATTGTTTCTATAACGTGTGGGCTGTTCTAACAGATGTTTCTGTTACCATGATGCTGAAAAGCCGTTGTCTCCGGATGTTATTCTTTGTATTTGTTTGCTACTGTTTTGTAATGTATTCCAAGTTTTCATCATCCCTTGTCTGTCAAACAGAACATGAAAAACAAACTAAAACCTTAGACAAACTAGCAGATTCTGAAGTAAGTGGCAGTCTGCACCCACGGGTACAGATGGCAGTCGATGCAACAGGTTATGAAGACCATAAAAAAACTTAAAGCAGACATAACCTGTTCATATTGTGATTCATGTTTGGAATCAGTAATTGCAGAAAATAACTGTGACTGACTTTGAATGAGTTGGTATGAATTTTAAAAGACTACTGCTCTGAAATTCTAACCTAATATCTGAACTACGGGACTGGTATTTCATGCACCAAACTGATTACCCCACCTGTTCAAACACGGCAATCTAAATCTCTGCACAGTAAATGTGAACAAACATGGTTTTCCTACAAGAAATAGGTGTCAAGATTTATACAATGGACGTACATTAAGACATGAAGAAAGACTCTCAGGCTACAAGCTGTCAGGTGACTGAACAAAGTTAAATTAACTAGTCACGTACATCAATCAAAAAAATGTATCTTGATGGTTCGAAAATAGTTGTGGAATCAAATCCTCTATCTGCATTTCCAAGTATGTTACACTACACAGAAGAAATTGCCTCAACTTATAATTCGAAGCCATTATAAAAAACATGCAAGGAATAATGGTAGTGCTTTCTTATGTAATTATTTTTGCGGTAATACTGTAGTTGACTTTAAATTACTGTCATAACTATGTAATTTATATTTGTATAAGTATTCTACTTGTGCTATGACATGTTCTACAACCTTAGCCTTGGCCCATGAAGGCTCTATGGAATGTAAATAAATTCTATTCCATTCAATGCACAGAATTCCATTATGTGTTGCACTAACTAGCTGTACGTTTCTGACAAAAGTAATTAAATTCATACTTACCAACATTTTCCACTCCAAGTTATTCACATCTGCGAATACCTGTACTAACCTACCATTTATACATTAATACCAACATCGTATCATTAGACTACCAAAACCACGGTAACGAATTCAAGAAAAGCAACTAAAAACCTCAATTATTTAAACACGGCACTCGCACTACGAAAACCAATGAAACAAATTGTACGTATCAGTTTCATATCGAGAACAATAAACACGAAAAACGTCTGCTGATTCAGGAGGAAGATTTCTTCTCCTTGATCTGTATAATGATAGCGCTTGGTACTATAATATCCCCAGACACATGCCTGTCAACAGAATAATTTTCCTTTGCAGTTGTCGAAATTTACCTCGTATCACAGCTGGTAATGTGGACTGTATCAATATAGTAACAATGTCTGAAAAGAAAATATGTATTTCTCTTTTAACCTCAGACTTCACAGTCGATTTAGCTACTTATTGAAATGTACCTGATACAAACCTATCCTCTCAGAAGATTCCAGTTCAATATTAACTTCTGAAACTACAAAGTCTTTTGGACAATCTGGAAGACTCTTTGATTAGGGGATCAGCCCATCACAGGGCCTCTACATATGCATGAGAGTGCAATTCAAAAACCTTGTAGATTACAACCATATCTTAAATGTGATTTAAATCCAGTCCCAGGAACTGAGCAGTAAAGCCATGCATACCTTACACTGAGAGACCATTATCATCAGCACAACGTACATTATTTCAAAAACCTTTAATTAACCACGCTGTTAACTCCATACATAATGAATACAATTTGCATGAAAATTTCCCATTATATTTGTTAAAACTGCATCAGATCTCTCCAGATATCCAAATAATGCAGTGCTGTAACAGTAAATTCAGAACCCCTTAGAAAGAAGTTTTTAAAGCTGTGTATTTATAATGTTGGTTTCCTGAATATCAGATCGACCTACAACTTGAGTGCATGTAGATGTCACACAGTAAAGATAAAATTATTCTAAATAATTGTTACTAATGTAAATACTCCACTGAAATTATAAATAAATACAAGTCAAAAATATTTACATTTTTGACCAATCAAAGGAATCAGGGGAAATAGATATCTGGATATTTCATAATCCTGACCAGGACTGAGCGTTATGGAAAATAAAATTTCCAGAGGACTCTGACCCAGTCAGGGAGATGTTAATCCTAGAGCAGCACACCTTTGAGAATCAAATATAGCAGGCACTAGGCCACTAGACCCACTAGAAACAAGACTGATTCTATTAAATTCAACAAGAAACCAAGTTATTGTTTAGATTGTATTAAGGTTACAAAGATATAATACAACTTCAAAATTACAATTAACTCCACTGCACAAAATCTTGAGAAGCCATATTTATTTGAAAATGTATCTTAATATTAATTTTCCATCTATGCTTCTGTCCTCTGTGTGATTAAAATTTGGATTGTGGTCTTGCAGTTTGACAGCATTTGTAACGACATGCATCACTACATGGACTCATAATCCTGAAGACCACAACATGAATTATGAAACAACTATTCATGGAATTACAAACTGTTTGTATTAAAAATGTAAAAATTTTAATATGCAATTGGTAATCCACAAAATAAACACATGTGACCTCTAAACTATTATAACATTTCAAACATTAAAGTACACTAGATGAACACAATTTACATATGGACTGTTAGTAGCAATGAATTTAATTATAAATTTGGAAAAGTCCTTTTCACAGCCAAGAAATCTACTACAGCCTGAACATCTTTGCTGCCACATCAGTCAAGTTTACACAGACGTCAAAACCCAACTGAATGAACTGTCAGTCCCGGTTGCAGCCATGGCTACAGTACCGTAGTAAGCAATTGGAAACTGTAAGAAATACTAATTATAACTGCCATTCACTGTTTGGTGAGTATGCACATACATTTGTAGACAAATTAAATTGAAATGAATACAATATGTGCAAACATAAAATCTCCTTCCGCTTCCATGCACATACACATATTCACTTGTCCTACATCAATATATTTGTTGCATGCATATTCTTTGGATGTTTACATTTCTAACCGAATACTACAATGGTTGGACTCTCTCGACTATTTGCAAGTGTGACAGTGCAAAGGAAACGTTATTCATCAAAACAGAGAAATTCTTACCAAATCTGAACTATGACACTCTGTTGGTTCTGATGTAGACCAAATTTTAGTGATTTTAATGAAATTTTAAAGATTAGAGGAAAGAAAAGTCTTCTCTCATGACAGTTTTGGTAAACAAATTGTTTTTCTTCATATTTCAGCAATTACTCCAGATGTAACTGATTTATTATGTGGCAAGTTCATGACAAACAAATGGCTTCATCCAACCGCTTAAAGTTAAAGGCACACCAGATAAATACACTGAACAGTATGTTCACAACATGCATAAGAGAATTTCAGTAACAATAAAATGTACATTCAATCAAAATAGGCAAAAAGAAGTTTTGAACGTGAGAACATCATACGTTATTACTCGATAAATTACAGAGAAACATATGAAGCACTGTCAAACTTGATGAGAAATAATTGTCTGCTACTTCCTCAAAATACACAAATGGCTTTGACAATCACACGTAGGTTCGTAACATCCAGCAAACATCTACCGAAGTAAAAATAAGATTGGCATTACAGTCTACATGGAAACTAAAATTTGCTTGTGATTTTGATTTTTTTAATTATTCTGTTGAGCACAAGACCGAAAACAAAATGTTAATAAATTGTGAACATTAACTAATCCACTGCACTACACAGCAAAAAAATGGAATGGAGGGGGAGGGGTGGGGGGGGATAAGGTGGTAACAGTGATGATCCACTCGCACACTTCAATGCATTTTCAGACTAAGTATCAAGCACATACAACAGAGCAGAAATAAGGTACAACTATTTCTCACCAAACTTCACTGTGTATCATCATATGCCATTTATTACAATTCAGTTTCATTAAACCATCAGATACCGCATATGTTCAATACCTGTTGGTTTAGCAAAACTTGATTATTTGCGTGTGATATAACAGAACGGATTTAAATTTTAAAATATCATCAATTACAACTCCAATTACCACAACATGTCAGTCATGTAATCAAAGGGAACCGACACATAACAATTCCTACTTTTTCCGTTTAGGTGCCGGAGATTTATCTTTCTTTTCTTCAGCAGATTTCTTCCTTTTCTTTGGCTTTTCCACCACCTCCTCCTCCTCCTCCTCCTCTTCTTCTTCTTCTTCTTCTTCTTCTTCCTAAATAGTGAGACAACATTAAAATTAATACAAACTTCCAATACTACCTATAAAACATTATAGAACAGCTGTCAGTTCATTTACTGCATTTTTCAACCGTATGATCCAAACCACCTCACCAGTATTTCTTACTACCTTCATGGATTAGACCACAGATCAGCATTTGTTGTTTCTAACCTTGACTGCCAAAATAGAAAAAAAAAACACCTGTCCTAATTGATACTGGATACCGCCCATAAGATTAACATCTGTATCTGACAATGAGAAGGGTACACTAAAGCAAGCACAGGCAACCGTATTGACGGTTCAAAGTACACTAATAAAAATCACAAACACCAACTACTCAGCTATGATTTAACAATTAATACATGGATTTATCATACCTGAATCTTTGCACTATCTCCGGTCTTTTGTTTCTTAGTCTCAGGGGGCGAAATTTCCTGAATCGCTGGAGACCTCTGCATTAAAAAATTAACACGCAATTAACTTTAAAAAATGTTTCTACTGACAGCAGTAAATGCATGTAACATATTGACATGATCTTGATTTCTACCTACGGTTCATTCAACATTTAAAAGTCAAATGTACGAAGAAAATTTTTCTATTTTTGTTTCTATAAACAGACAATAAAACTTTTTATGTACTTTGCACAAAGACCATAGAAAATGTAAGTTGAAATCCTCACATCCGTTGGACTCTCATTCCTTACATCTTCTTCTTCCTCATCATCTGCGTCATCCACATTTTCATCCTCTTCACAATCATCTTCTTCATCTGAGTCAGATTTATCAATTTTATGACTGTCTGCAACAGGCATATAAAGACTGGTCACACATCATGCACAGTGAATATTGCAGTCAAGTGACAGTGTTGGCAAAATTGACACATGAAGAATAGGAAGTATCAATAGAAATGATAAAATATGGAGAACCATAATGGCATCAATGTCTATATAGAATACTAACAAATACGTGGAAGAAAATAATACCCGAAGACTGCAAAAAGTTCTACCAATTTAAAAGTAAGGAGACGAGAACAACGCATAAATCATAATAATTACATTCTTTAGAGTGCGCCTGAAAGTGCATCTGACACGAGAATACAGAAAATAAACTACAAAATATGGGCAATATGTAATACAGACAATAAACTACAAAATATGGGCAATATGTTTGAAAGTTATGAGGGGAATAGACGCATGGGAATGATGATACCATCATGCCTTTGGGAACACTGACTTACCATACACGTGATTTCCATATAGATGCACTGGACCACTTCCCTTCAGTAGTGTGAATAGGATTGGCATGTCACTGAAACTGATGTTCGGGTTGCAGCACTCCAAGGAGCCCCGTCTCAGACATACGATAGGCATTACTCGCTTGCCCTTTCTACCAGTTACCTCAACCTGCACGATATTCTCCTCACCCTCCTTAGCCCCTTGCCCAAGGAAAACCTGAAACGGAAACAAGACGATTCAGAACGGAAAACTAAGTTTCGTACTCACACAAAATAATGACGCCTTTATAGTTTTAATTCGTGGGGCACAGGAAAGGCGCCAAACACATTGGATTCGAGCCCAACCGGTGCAGGTTTTTCACATACTTTTCCATTCTCTCATGTCTAAACATGTCACAATTTGCGAGTGTAATAAATACAATCCCCCGCACCACTATTTGGTGTCTTCTGCTTGCCATCACCCTTTTATCAGGAACTCTTGTGTCAGTAATGGCACGACCACTGCGAAGGTGAAAAGACACATCGAAGACACCGTAACTGGAAGCACTAGCACCAGTAATATGAGCATCACCTATCCCATTTAAGGATGTTTCTTCTGCAGCCGCTCAATTTAGGTCGACTAAAAGTGACAGAAGCCACACAAAAGGAGCCCTCCATTTCAAACATCATTCCCCTCAGCAGGCAGCCAGTAGCCCTGGGGAGCTGGCAGTATCAGCCAACCTCAGAAAGCTGAGAAGACAACTACAAGATCGTGCTATGCAAGATACTGTACTTCATCAGAGGTATGGGGCTGCCAACAGATTAAGTGAATGGGGATGTACAATACATCAAGAAATGCTTGCGGTGTAAGGGTCAGTTAGGTACTCACCGACTTACACATATTTCATTTAATTTTTGATTGACTACAATAATTTTTGACTTTTTCATTGGGCATGTCTCAGAGAATACTCCTCTGCTATCCCAGAATTGTCTTTGGTTATAAATTCTGTGCAAATTGGAGTATTTCAAGTAAACTTGGTAGATAAATACTGTACTCATTTCATGCAACAGAGTTATTTAATTTGCCTAAAATGTTCATAAAACTTAAAACAAAATAGTCTGTTCACAGACATGCTTACAAAGCAGCTTCTTTAACACACTGAATAGTATACTACATTTATTGTTATGATGCACCACAACCTTCCAAAATATTCGTAATCCTTAGAATTATCGTGAACCACTGTTTCAGTGAATACATACCTGCCTAAGAGTAAGATACTGATTCTTACTCAGAGCTTCTCTGTTCAGATCCAACTCCCATGATCCTCTTTGACTTGTGCTAGACAGGGTAATTCCTGAACACACAACAAACTTAATCTTCACAAAAATGTAATTTCTGAAGAAAATATGGCCATGCCAAGCAATTCAATTTTTTATCATAAAAAAGGGTATTGATATAAATGCAATATAAACACAAAATAAAGGACTCATTAAGTATTATGTATGACCACTAGAAAAGAAATTATTTTCAGAAAGATATGCTGTTGGCCAAACTACCTGCAAACTGTGGATAATATGGCCAACCAAAATCCTCCTTTTAAGAACATGTAAATTAAAATACAAATGCAAAGAATTAAGACATAAAGTTTTAAAATATTATCAAAATTTTGTTTTTAAAATGAAAGCAACAAAAAGACAACTTATCTTTTGTTTAAAAGTCAATGATACCTAATTGCATAATTCTTTTGAGTTCATCAAAATAATCTTTGACAACGAATGGTTCAACTACTACCTGGGATTTATTTATATATGAACTGCTACAAATTGCCAGCCTCTGAATGGGCCGTGACACTGAAAAGGCAGCATTTCTCAAAACACGTGGACATCAGATCGCAAGGGAGGGAGAGAAGGATGTGAGGCATCATTGCACAGCAAGTACAGATTACCCAGACCAATTATTATGCAAAAAAAATTTGATACAGTGGCAGACTAATAAACTATTATTTCTGGTATGGCAAGGAAATTAGGTTGTTTCTTCAAAACATTCATAATTCATATTTTTTATTGTGTTCTTTATGTCAGCTGAAATAAAACAGTGAGACTATTTATTTTGAAGAGAATATATAATGAAAATCTGATTATGTGCGCCAACAAATAGCAAACTTGATGAAACAGGAATTATACTTCATATCACTGGAAACTTATGCAAATTCTTCTGTTGAAACACAGTAACCGTACGTGTTTGTGTGGGTAACCACACACAAACTGTGAAGCTGACAAATATACTCATACCATCGTAGTAAGGAATAAATGACAGCAGAATTTTTGTTTCATTTTAAATAAGACACTTCTGAAATATATCTGTATTTATATTATATAAACAACCATCCAATGCAAGTAGATATTCTTCTGTTGTCAACGAAACTAGTTCTGAATGTCATGTACACAATTTTAACCAAATAACAATGAATAATGTTAATATTTTATATTGTTAAGATTAATTTATTACAACAGTGAACATAACACCTGTTAAAGAGTTGTACATGGAACTATTGCGGGTGATGAAATTCAGTCCAAATATTTCTATTAATTTAAATCAAATTCAGATCCCATCAGTTTTCACGCATTCCACATCGGAACACACGGTACTGCATTATCTTACAGAATTTTACTTCAAACTTTGCTGTATACAGAATCATACCTTTAGTAAAAAACTATAATATTTACAGATACTAAACAACTTATCAGAACACCAACAGCACCTACTCAGTAGATGTACCAGCGAACCACGCACTGGCAGACACAATATTACACATGGCATCTTGGCACACGGCATGAGACCTGGTCCCGTGCTCACAAAAGCTGATATCATTTGAGCATGTACAGAGAAATTCTGGAGGCACTGTGAACTGCAATTTTACAGTCCATCTTCACGCAATTACCTATTGATGATAAGATCTACATGTATTTTCAGTATCACAATGCAGTCAAAGAAAAATACTATGAACTGTCCTCTATGAAGGAGGGAAACAAGCAGCTCAGAATCCTACTTGGAGAATCACATAAAAACTTAACGTCAGGTAATGTTTTATTTTCATCATCTTCCTATTGGCACAGCAATCCACAGCAGTGGTAAGATGAGCTGCTCTTTTATCCTCAGATGTGTTAAAATGACAACATCTGAATTAGTGTAAGACACTTCAGTTTACAATTTTCACAGGAATTTAAGTTAACACATGAGCGTTATTCACAGTCTGTACACTTAAATGGGCTGTCAGGGCATTAAAGGCCTTAAAATATAACGCAAGTTAATTTAATAATTTCTTCTTTATGAAAGGACTAATTAAGAAGCAGACTGTCCGCATCTCTTGGACATCTCAATCCTCAGTTACCACACAAAAACATAATTTTAAAAAATAATATACGTAAATGTACTCAGCAGTATGCACCTTAATCAGCACTCTAATCATCTGTCCCTTCGACCTGTAACGCTTATGACAAGAAACAATGCATTTACTCTGCTCTATAATTAATACAAGAGAACAAATTTACAATACAGTGACCAAGTTTACTTGCTGCTGATCATTTGTGCTGCATTCAGTTCCTTGACCATCCTGTGTCTGAAATTTAACTTGTGAAATTTAGTACCACAAGCCCTAACCCAAACCAAACTAATGCAACTGGTCATCATGCCAATAAACATAAAGCAATTAAGGAAAGACTCTTAGTGAATAAACAGCCATAAATTAAGTCTTATGCAGAAAACTAGTCTGCAAGGTTACTTACAAAGATATTTAAAGCTATAGGACCTTTCTCACACACAAAAAAATTTCAATAAATTTAACCTACAAGGTAACTTAGTTTAGATTAACATACTTTATTTATTTATTTATTTACTCAAATGTTCATCGCATTTTCAAACAGATCAAGCAGTCGCTTTATACCCTTGATTTGCTCTGCTAGTTTGTATATTGGCTTCATCGATTTGCTCAACTCCTCACACTTTGCCATAAGTTGATACATGGACTTTATATTGGAATCTACAGCATCACAAGTCTTACAAACTGCATCACGGTACACTTCCAGGCACTCCACTGTGAGGGCCGACACACTCCGGAGGATACCGGCCAGGTTTTCTGTCAGTGTGTCCACAGATGTAGCAACTCTACGCACCTCTATTTCCAAATCGTTTAAAACATTTGGATCTATGACTGGTAACTGCGGCATCAGTGCTTGCCTGTACAAACATGGTGTTGAAATCCGGGACCCAGGAAATGGAGGAGTATCTCCTTTCTTTGTCACAGGACTTGACAATTTTATTTTTGTTTCCAAGTCTTCCGCTACAAACAGAACCATATCACCTTCCTTCGTAACTGTTCCTTCCAGGCACAAGTCATCCATTGGCTGGTGAAATGGGTTAGCGTCAATACTGCTGTCAGAGTAACGGTTAGATCTTCGAAGGTCTAGTTTATCTGGTCTCTTACTATCGCCATCTTGAACAGATTCTTGTAACTTAAGGCTCTTTTCAACAGCACCTTTCTTACAAGTGAAGTCCAAATCCGATAATCCAGGTGAAGCTGCCAAAGACCGGTTTTCAGAAACGGAAATATCTGGTGGTGAATTCTGAGAATCGAATGATATTTCAGAATACGAAGCTGTCATTTCATGAAGTCTTTCGTCGTACATGTCAATAGTTGACACACAATCATTACGAGGAGACAAATGTTCCAATTTATTGGATAATTCTGTTGCAAATTCCTGATTAAACGTTTCGAATTCGTTTTCAAACGGCGAAGATTCATCCGACTTGTTTTTCACATCACCCATGTCCGCCATATTGTAACTTCAATCGGCAATTTTCAATCCCTACCGCTAGAATTCGTTCTGATGCACAAAGGATATCCTGCAGGCCGCCATATATAACAGTGAAATTGGAAAATGCGCTGGCAAATATTTTCTCAACTGAAACACTGCAAATTTGAGAAAATCGAATATATAAATCATCAAAGAGCCATCTTATGACTCATCTCATTTCAGGAATCAAAATATTTCCCCCCCTAGACACCGCAAAAAAACAGCCGTTTTATAAAATGATACGACTCAGCCTGCAAGTTACATGTGATAACAAATTATTTAGTGCTGATAAAATGCAATGGACGTCTGAACTCACATGTGTGCAAATATCCAAAAAGTTCCCAGCATAACTGTTACGGAAGACTCAATCAAAACAAAATACCAGCACAAACAAATCAAATGCACAATACATTCTCGACTTATCGATATCTTGAAACGATTAATAACTGCCAGTTCGACATAAAAGCACGAGGAAGTTGTCACACGTACTAAGACACTCACTCCGTACCTGATCGAAACTAAAACCTACGGAAAGAATAAAACTTGCCAAGATTCGAACACCCCCTACGGCCAGTCCAAAGTTCAGATTTTTAGGATTAAAATTACGTGCTCAAAATGAAAAACTACGATTGCACGTTGATTCTTGGTCTATTCACCGAAAGTACCTGAACTTATGGTGTAATAGGGCCCACACGTGCAGCGTCGAATGAGGCAGTATGTAAATATTTGTGAGATGGTAGCGGGTAGCGTCAGGACCCTACCCCGAAATTTGCCTGAACAGACTTCCGAAAATCATGAACACATCAAACAGTACACGTGGTCTTCTGGCGAAGTTATGGTCCGCTGAGTGTTACTTTGGACAATTTTACTTCAGAGCTCCAACTATAGATTTTCGCTGAAATAATAAAAATAAGTTCACACGCCGATCTGGCATCCACGTAACGAACACGACTAATTAGTAATTACTTTCCGAAGCGAAATGGGTTGGCTGGCGGACTTTATAATTAGTAAGGAGCTTTGCAATACAGAAAAATAACGATCCACTAAAACTCACCCCAAAACATGTATTCAACCATTCTTGAAGCCTCGATGAAGACGACTGAGCACAGCGACAACGCTGCCGGAGGACAAAGCAGAAAATACCGTCGAAGAGCAGTCACAGGACGACAAGAACAAACCCCACTGCACTTAATCAGTGGCG